GAAACAATCTGAGACGTAGAGAGAAAACAGTTGAGGATGTGAACGTATTAAAGGAGTCGACATGTTGATGTTTTTATGATTCACTCATATTTCACTCAGGAACATTTTTTACTCGATAAATGCATTTCACTCGCAGAAACGAGCTCCAGCTTCACGTCTACCGCCGGCCCTAAAGCTTCACTGAACCCAGCCACAACTACACCCAGCCACAGGTGTGCTGTTAGTCTGTGTCACCCCCCTCCTCTCCTCCTCCCATCCTCCCCCTCTCTGTTCCACTGCTTCAACAGGAAGTACCACCGCCCCCCCACAACCACCGCCACCACCCCTCCACCTTTAACAGCCTCACCACACATCCATCTCCTTCCTCCCCTTTCTTTCTCTCAAAAAATAAACACCAGAATGTGCTATGAAAAAAATAATTTCACTTCTGCCAAGCACCGACGTTGGGCGCTAAAGGCAGACAGCAGGTTGCCATCGGCGACAGATGTCCCCCCCTCCCCCTCCCTTGAATGGGAACATCCCTCCCCCCCTTACTCAGCTGTACCTCAAAGCCACATTTGGCATCAGCCCGTCCTCTGTCCTCTTAAAACTTAAAGCAAATACACTGAAGCAGCAGACAGAGCTGTGCTTTGTCTGAGTTTATCTATGTTATTTGCTGCTTACTGTGTGACAGACAGACAGACAGACAGACAGACAGACAGACAGACAGACAGAAGCCATGTGTGAGTGGCAGACCTTGAAGCCCCCTGAGAGCCTCACAACGGTGAAACCGGAGCAACAGAAGACTTGCAGACATATTTAGATCTCATATTTAAAGGAATAGTTTAACATTTTGGTAAATATCTCTCATATCTGTCTGGTAAATATGAACAGAAAATATACAGGTAGGAGCTGGTTAGCTTAGCAAAACAACTGGAAAAAGGGGAAACTTAGCCTGGCTCTGTCCGAAGGTAACACAATCCCCCTACCAGCTCCTCTGAAGGTCACTAATTAACACGTTTTCAATTTACAAGCAGAAAAGATGGTTCCAGTGGTTAAAACCTAAACTATATCTTGAAGTCATTCTTAAAATAAGCATCCTTCACTTTGCCAAGAAATGTTCGAAACTGACTGCAGTCATACTGATCATGTCAAAGACATCTAGCCTCAGAGGAGAGATATCTGAGCTGGATAGATGCGCCCTTTGCATGTACTAAAACTTTATATATGGTTTATTTATCCAAATATTAAACATGTAATCTGTGTCTACTTTGTAATCTAAAGCAATTAAACCACAGAGGCTTGTTAATTGGTTTAAAGAGTCAATATTACCTCAGGTCTGTTTTAGACAAAGAAGGGATCTTCATTAGTTAGCTGTTCAATTTACATGTAGGTGGAGAGACAAATAACAGTGTCCGGTGGAGAAAAGAAGCTAATTCATTCAAAGCACAACACATCTTGCAGCTGTGTGGTTCTGAGATCTCTTGAGGTTAAAGTTGTTGCAAAAATCAGTATCGCTTCTTCTTCTTCTACAGCAGAGTTTTCCCTAAATACACCATCAAAGAATGAAACCGACCCAGGGTCACAAGATGCATCATAAACAGGTTGTCTGGTTAGAGTTTATTTGAAGGGGTACTTGCAGCCATTTAGCACTGCACTTCCACAAAGTTGTGAAAGATTAAAAAAGAAAGAAATCAGAGATGCAGAGGACGAAATATTCTGACTTTTAGTTTTCTGTTGGGTCAAAATCCAACATCATAATGGTTACATACATAACTGGTTTTGGACAAAGATTTTGTTTCTGTATCATTGGACAAAAACAAATGTTACCTCAGACTCTGAAACACTATGATGATGGTAAATTTCACTATGTTCTGATTATTGACTAAATTACTGATAAATTAATCAAAATAAGACGACAGATAAATAGATTATACAAAGTTATCTGATCTGCAGACATCATTGTGTGTTTGTTAAGCTAAATTTACCCTTATTTATGGTACCTCTTCAAAATAAGGGAATTTAATGTATTTAAATAAAGAAAATTAATAACGTTCTAACAACTTTAACTGTAAGCTTTATGGTAACAAATCCTCCACAAACATTTGTTTTATTTGTGCTTTAAAACAGCCTGTTACTGATGTATAAAGTATCAAATAATCTTTCAACCACTGATAAAATTACTTGTTGAAAAGCAGCTTTTGGGAAATTGATGAGAAACGCAAAGTCTTCTGTATCTCCTCACCAACAGTCTGAATGAATATGATTAACTGATATCTTCTCAATTAATTGACTGATTGTTAAATTGTTTCAATGTCAGGAAATAGTGAAAAATGTCCATCACTTATTGAAAGTCTTGTGCTGATCAACCAACAGTCCGAAACCCAAAGATATCCAGTTTCCTACATAGATACGTAGCTCAATCACACGTGTGTAACAAAAATCTTAATGCGTGAATTTGCAGGTGTTTATACACCAGTAAACAAAGCGCCACCTTCTGTGTGTGTTTGCCTTACGGGCGTGTTAGTAAGTCAGTTTTGTTCTCTTTTGTTTGCGAGGTGTTAAAGCTGTGATTCTTCCTGGAAGCAGAGATTAAAAAGACCGACTCCCTCTGCCTCCACTGTCCACCTTCACTGCGGGAGACTTTCAATCAACCCATCATCACTCATTCATAGACTCATCTGGGTCAGCCTCAATTCCCTCATCACTCATTCAGAAATTGAGGACTGCAATATTAATAGCACTCAGAACAGTTGAGGTTTTTAATGGACTTTTCTGTAGCCGCAGGCTCAGAACTTGTCATCCTGCAGAAAGTCAATGTGAAGAGCTCTTTTCCCAAAAAAAAAACTACATCATGCACATTCCTGAGAAATCCCACTAAAATATAGAAGATCCAGGCTTTTGGGCAACCAAACACCAAAACATGTTTTCATCAAAGAAACCAAACACTTTCCCCTCTAGATAGCAGATGTTTTCTTTGGAAATGATGCTCACAAAAGGCAGCAGCACGCACACATACACAGAACAGAGAGCTGTGATACTGATTGACAATATCCTCTACTAAGATCAACTAATCAACAGTTGAACACTGAATATCCGAGTCAAGCTTAAGTAAGTGTTGTAAGAGGAGTCAACTTACACAACAAGAAACTGCTGGGTTTGCTCTAATGTCTGTGACAGTGCTGGGAATGAATCATCCTCCATGTTTCACTTCACATGAACTGAGTCATTAAAACATCCTTTTGAATTCACCCTGATATTCAGGGAGACTGGATAAGGAACATCCGTCACATGGGGATTACAGCAAGTTTCCAAAACAGATCGGGCTTCAGAGAAACCCCCCTGCAACTCCTGTGATGCCACTGTTCTTGTCCAGCTCTCCAGTATATTAAGAGTAGGACAATGGAAAAAAATCCTTCATCGTGATGGATTTAATTTTATACTATGACATATTGATAAAGTCAGTTTTGTGGGATTGTTTTTTTTTAATTAAAGAAGCAGACAGGAAGGTTTTGTTTTTGATTTATCAAGCAAATTAACTACCTGACAAATCAAGGCAACTCATTTCAAGCTGCAACTAGTAGATGCCACAAAACCCAACATAGAAGCACCAAATCCTCATATCTGAGAATCGAACCAGCGCATGTTTGATATTTTTCCTTAAAAAATGATGAATACAATTTAAATTCAATTCAAACTAGTTGCCTAATTTATTGACTTATCGATGCCATAAAGCAGTCCTGATCATTGATTTTCAACATTGCCTACAATGGCCTAATACAGTGGTAATATAACACAAAGCAATAATACACTTGTGGCCCATCATCGCAAGTTGTCCACATGTTGCCAGCAGGTAATTTAAAGAGTGATTTTCCCTCCTCAGATTGTTTCAATGGTTTTTAGAAGCCTGAAGAGGTGAAATTATACAATTTCACTGTGGTTTTCCTACCCCAGCACTCACCTTGCATCCTCTTATTTGCTGCAAGCTGTCAATGGTGGAGTCCAGCTGCAGATATCATCGCCGCAGGTTTTGATTCATAGATCACTGTTGGATTTCACCCGTTAATAGCAATACCGCAGTGCTACAGACGGATGTATCGAATGGAACCAGGCCCCGTCATTCTTACATTGTTTCATTTACTATTACGTGATATACTGTTTAGAGACGGTGAGCTATGAATCTACCAACTGGAGGCACATCGGGGGAACTTCTACGTCAGTTCATTGATTGTGATAGAGTGGTGATCGCAGTTTTATAGACGTGAAGACAACAGAGTCTTTCTTCAACTTCCTTAACATTATCTTTGCAATCAGCATTCGCCATGGGCATCAGGAGAAAATCTCCATGTGGTACTGTATCTCAGTAGCTGCTGCAGCCTTGATGTGTACTAGACTCCATCTGCAACCCCTTAATGCAGAACTATGAATTCAGCTCGTGACCCCTTGTGGCATTGCAGAGCCCCGGGTAGGGAACCACTGGCCTGATACACCCAGAGATATTAAACAGATATGAACGGCATGTCTCTGGAAAAAAGAGACAAGAGATAATGGCAACGGTGTGTGTGTGTGTGTGTGTGTGTGTGTGTGTGTGTGTGTGTGTGTGTGTGTGTGGAGAAGACAAGAGGGAAGGGATGCAGGGAAGTTTGACTAAATGGCTCGTTGCCTCAGTGAAGCCCAAGTCATGCATGAGTGAAATTCAGAATTGAGCTTCTCGTGTGTTTAATGGGCCAGAAAGAGAGAGAGGAACAACAGAAGACAAATCAAAATACAATGTACAGATAAAGTCGCAGGGCTGAATGGGTACGTCTCTGAGTTTAAACAAGCATCATTTGTGCTGTGATGTCTTTCTTTCACATTGCAGAGTGGCACTAACTACCAAAACCCAAGTGGAGTACAGGAGCGAGTGCTCACAAATGTCAAGGACGGGGGAGTGAAATGTATTGTGTTGAGGAGGACGAGGCAGGTAAGGGAGAGAGAGAGAGAGAGAGAGAGAGAGAGGTATTGATTCTTCTCTGTCTTACCCATATTGCCTCTGAGCCCACGTAGGATGGACTTGCTGAACTCCAACTGAGAGACCTGCAGACAAAAGAGAAAGAGAGGCAGCGGTGAGGAGGGATATTTTAGCTACCAGCAGCACAGACGACGAGAGAGAGACAGGCAGACAAGGACAGAGCTGATTCTCTCTCTCTCTCTGTCTCTACTTGTTTGTCTCAGATGTTAGCATGTATACGGGGGTATCAGAGACCAACTGTTATTCCCTCAGCATACACACATGCTCGACACACTCACGCAAATAATGATGCACTCTATTGCGCACAAACATCTGTGACCTCGCTGCCTCCAGAGTTCACCGGGAATCAGCTGAGGCTGAGTAAGAGGGGAGAAACTTAGCCTCCTCCTCTCTGCCCCTCCTCTGACTTAATTTCAACATTCCTCCAGCTATTCATTCCTCTCTTATTTCTCCTTTTACTGCACTGCCATGACTTCATCAGTCCTCTTTTGTTCAAAACGTATATATCTTAATGCGCATATCCTTTCTTTGCCGGGACAAAGAGGAGACAGGCAACGCTGTTATTTCTTGCTCTTAACAGTCCCATCCCCTCTTTCTCTTCTTATTCTCCTCCTCTCTCATTCTCTCTGTACTCTCACACACAATGACAAAATACCAAGCGCTGCCATCTCCCATCAGCTGCATGCTTGGGGAGTTGCGTCGCAGGGCTGGTCCTGGAATAAGGAGACACAGTCAGTTGTTGTTGGCGCCACTGTTTGTCAATCACACCTACACTCGATGGTATTTCAGCCAGCGAGCTTTAAATGAAGCAGCGAGGGAGAGCTGCTGCCAAGGTCTGGTGCACTGTGCACCAAGACATCGGAGTGGAAGCACGAAGCATGTGTGCTGGTGGTTAATGTTGAAAAAGCCTGGCGGCATGAAAGCTGTGTGTTAACTCAAGTACACAAAGAGTGAATGTATGGTGGGAATGAGCAGACAGTTGGCTGAAAGGGGCACACCAGTGGTTTTGCATGTTTAATCCCACTAACCTCAAATTTGTACATGCATTGGTTTTTAGATTGATTTCCTATCTTCCTGGCAGCTGTGGGTTTGCATTCATTTCAGTGCAGCATGAAAATCAACATGCAGAGACTTGAAACTTGCTTGAGATTCATAAACAGTGATTTAGCTGCCTTTATTCAGCCCCTCCAGGATTTCGCAGGCTTTTTTGGGGATTATTGTGGCCTAAAATCCTTATTTCACTGCAGCTTTTCTCAAAACATTGCAATGCATGTTGCAATATATTGTTTTGCAAACATTGCGGAAAAAAGTGTAACTTGCTAAAATTGTAGCAATTATTATTATTTCTTGTGTATTACATTAAAAATTTAAGGCAACTTGTTCTGGGGAGAATAAAATCACATCGTTTGCAGAGTAAATGTGAGAGTATGTGTCACACATGGTCTGCATCATCTAGAAGTTCAACGTTTTACAATGATTGGTCCAATCTACAGTAAAGTTGTGGTGATTAAACATGCAGAATTCCCAGGGATTGGTTGAATTTGTGTTAATTGTTGTGATTGCAGCATCGCAACTTCGTGGACGGACTGTTTATTTGTCATCAAGGTCAACATTTGGTAATCTCGTTGCAAGCTAGAAATATGTCAGCTACTGCCTTGTGTTTTCACTGGATGCAATTTTTGAGACGTGAGAGCCAATTTCTGAACATCAACTTTTTTAATGAATGAAGATAAAATATTGACAGTATCCTCTTCATGACATCCAAGTTGTTTATCTTCAGGGCTGAAACTAACTGATTATTTTCATGATCAATTAATCTGTCAATGATTTTCTTGATCAATCGATAAGTTGTTTGGTCCAGAAAACTGTGAAAAATGTCAAGCACTGTTTCCCAGGGCCCAAGGGGATGTTCTCAAATTTCTTGTTTTGTCCGCAACCCAAATACATTCAGTTTACTGTCAGAGAAGACTAAAGAAAATATTCCCATGTAAGAAATGATGAAATCAGAGAATTTTGACATTTTCTCTTTAAAAAATGACTCATAATGATTGATTGATTATCAAGATTGTTGGTGATTAATGTAATACTTGACAACTGGTACTTAACGGCTAACCATTGCCGCTCTGTTTGTCCTCTAGGTTTAATTTACCCAGAACATAGCTACAGTAGTTTGTGAATACAAAGCTTCACCATAGCATACAGTATCTTTGTTTACTGTGGTGGACTACAGTTCTTGAGCAAGTTTCAAGTCTCTGCAAGTAATTGAATACCCAGAAATTAGGAAATCAATTTACGAAACTATTTCTTGCTTTGGAAAATTGTTAGTAAATAAAAATAAGTCTCGGCCCCGTTTCCCTGATGCCGCTGGTCGCCTTCAATGGAGTTCGCCATGTTGGACTTCCATGTTTCTACAGTAGCCCAGAACAGACAAACCAAACACTGGCTGTAGATTGGGCCTTTTTGCATTTTTTTACAAGTATTGCGGCCACCGTTCTTATTCCCAGATTGTCAAATACAGACGCGAGCGGTGTTCAGTTAGTTGCAAGCAGGAACTTCACCGCTAGACGCCACTAAATCCTACACACTGGCCTTTAAAAAAAAAGGTAAAACCATGTATTTGTGACCTGTTTTTAAAGATTTACATCGTCAGTATGAACCAATGGCCTTGGGAAAGAGACTAACAACTTCTTGGTTTTGGTCTTTTTTTACAGGATTTGTTGACGATAAAGAACATGCAGAATTTAAGCTAACTACAGGATTTGTTTTATTTGCTAGGAGGCTACAATAAACCCTACTGGTATGATCCTGTGTGTTTAGAAGGGATCTAGCACACTTACTTGTCTGCGAGCTGCGAGGCTTCGCCCCGAGGTACGCCAGGTTCACGTTGGCCTTCCTGCCGTCGATGATGGGGTTTGCGTCTTTGCACGCCCGCTCTGCTGCCCCTCTGTCCACCATGGTCACCTGTTGACAGAGTCACAGCACTGCACTGATTAATATCACTCTGGTTAAACTCTTCAAGCTGCATAATTGCATGTGAAAGCTTCTCTATCCAATGTGGATGGAGTGAATCCAACATGACTGTTCAGATGAAGCAACAGACCCAGAGCTGGGCGACCCTGAGGTTGCTGCTGTCCTTGTCTCTCCTTGAATGACTCAATCTTTTTGCTAAATGCGTTAGGAGACACTTTATGAAGGCAGCAATCAGTGGGTTTTAAAGCTTCCAGTGGAGCTTATGTAGGAGGCAGATTTGTTTTTTCAGACAGGGCTGCCAAGGATGAGATAGTGGAATCTACCTTGAGGGAGTGAGTTGAGGAGTGGGCAGATAGCAGTGGGAAGAGGTGCTGAAGGTTAAGACACACACAGAGCAGCTACACTTAATATATGAGGTAAAAAAAACTCCATCACCTATAACTGGGACAGTGAAAGTAAAACTGCCATGCTTGCTTTCGTTTTGCAGCATCAGACTCTGGCCCCTGATGCAAACAAGGGCGGCGGATGGTTTGAGATCACCAGGGTTCAAAAGGCTGCTGCAGGGAATTATGATCGCTAATGGGAAGTCAGGGATGAGATGATCATGCTGTCTCAAAGCAGGAGAAAACAACACGACACACGCCGGTTTCCTCGGCTGATTGGCCCACTGACTACTCAGATGCAGATACCATTCACATTCAGTCCAAAACACACGAATCCCTCTCTTCTTATCTCTTTGTCTTTCACACACAAACTTACAGTCACTCACACAAACAACCAAAGCCATCCTGGCAGAGAGGGGGGGGCTGTATGGGAGGAAGTCAAAATGAAACTACTGCAGCCTTATCTTGCAGAGCCAACTGACATGTCACACCTCTGTGACCAAGGACCCCCCCCCCTCTCTGTGTCTCACACACAGAGGAGAGAGAGAGAGAGAGAGAGAGACATCTGTCCACAAATGCAGAAGCTTATTACTAACTAATTTGTATCCCTCTCTCTGGCTCTCTCTCTCTCTCTCTCTCTCTCTCTCTGTTCGTTCCTGCACACACAGCAACACGGTCTGCCCCTGACACTGCACACTTAAAACTCAACACACTGCCATACTAATGCTGTGTGTGTGTGTGTGTGTCTGTGTGTGTGTGTCTGTCTGCGCGCTCACTCGTACTTTGGGGCTGCAGAGATAATTGATGACACACTTATAAGAAGTAATCTGCTACTCATGCTTCAAGCATGTGACTGCCACCACCAGACACACTGAGCATGGCTGCTGCTGGAACAAAGTGGCAGTGTGTGCAGCCACCAAGGCCCAGAAGAAAAGATAAAAAAAAAAATTAAAAAAATACAATTAACCATAAAGATAAAGTCGCTTTAAACTCATTATAGGCTGCAACAGGCGTGATCTAGAGTGTTTTCAGCCCCCTTGACTATCCAATTAAAGTCAGAGTGGCTGATAAAACCTTAATTAAAGCCCATATTTCACTCTACATGCCCCCCCGCTCATTAATTCAACCAGAAAACAGCAACTTAAATGAACTCACAAAGCCGTATCCTCTGGACTTGCCCGTCTGTTTGTCTGTGATAACCACCGCCTCGTCGATGTCCCCGAAAGTCTCGAAATATTTCCGAAGTGAAGCGTCGTTGGTGTGATACGGCAAACCGCCGACAAAAATCTTGGTGTAAGTCGTGTCTTTCTCCATGGTGGGGTGCATTATTTCTAACGGAACCCCGACCAGCTGACCTAAAAACAGCGGCGAACTCATGCGGCTTGAAAAATATATATAACAAAAATACAGGAAGAATAACACAAAGGAAAACAAGAAAAGCAGCTGAATAACTTTACGCTCCTTGGACACCGAGAGGCTATAATAACGATAACAGCGCGTCCATGGCCAAACACGCAGCCTCCAGTCGCCTCAAATACAGCTTTTGGATGTATAGTCCTCCTGACAGGTGTCTGGGAACCTCATGTCTCCTGTCCCGGAAAAAAAAAAAGTCTTTAAGCTTCGGTAGGCGCGTCGCCCACTGCGCGTCTGGTCCAATAGACGAGCGGTGCGTCTTTTCCATTGGCGCATCCCGCCTCCTGCTCCACCCTGCTCCTGCTGCGCACACAAACACACACACGAACAGGAAACCCCCCGCCCCCCATAGCAGCTGAAATACTAATGCCAATAAAATGGAGAAACTGTTGAATAATTTCATACCTTCTGTAGCCAAATGCCATTGTAAAACAAAAATAGGATTCGTAAGGATTCATGAGAGATTTTTAAAATATGAATTCGTCGTGGTTCTGTGGAGGAACAGTCGACTGTAGCTGGATGGGGAGGAAGCTGTGGAACCACTGATCAGAGCAGCTGATAGAAAGTCAACAAAAGAGAAACTGACTGGAATGATTTGTGCTCATAAAAATAAAAGCATTCATTTGTTTTTGTTTCTTTTTTTTAAAATTGCAACTCTCACAGCTGCTGTTTAGAAGAGTAAATCCTTCATCAGAGGGTTAGGGGCTGATAAGGGTCTGGCAGAGCACTCTTTATGTTATAATACTACATATTTCTAAGGATATTTAGGCCTATTCATAAAAAAAAAAAAAAAAAAAAGGTTTTGCTTTCATTTTTGTCCAGTATGTAAGATCTGGTTTGAACCTGTCTTGTGTAAAATAAGAGACTGATAGCCTGTTTGGTCAGTATTTAGCAACCTTGCTCTAACTATAGGGGGTTTACCACCACTACTCTAACTCCATGCTAGCAGCTCTGTCAGTCACAGATTAGTTAAATGCTAACACTGGCATGTTGAGGTTTACCACTAAACACAAAATACAGCTGAGACTGATGGCAATGACATAAGTTTTGCAAGTATATAGTACAAGGTATATATAAAGTATAAAGAATTAATTATATCTACTGATTATAGATCAAATTTATCTCAATTCATGCTGAGGGAGACATGAATGTTAGGACCAAATTTCATGACAATGCATTCAGTAAGCTAGATGTTGCTGCTGGTGCCTAAAAGGAATAAAGAGTAAAAATTAAACACTGCCACATTTCTCCACATAAAAATAATCACATCAAATCAAAAGTGAAACAAAAAAAATGCAGTTTTAAGGGTTAAGTGAGTCAGCATTAACCTGGCAGCCAATGTTAAACAGACAGACACTGTAATTTTATTATAAATGACACTGGAGACTAAAAAGGAAAAGTCACTTGAAGCTTTGAATACAGGGTACTGTGGGTTTGAGTACAGTAACAGCAGTAGGGTTGAGACTGCCTGGAGGTGTGAGATCTTTTTATGGGGTGCAAAATCATTAAGAGAAAGGAAAGAAAGTGTGATGATTAATGACAATAGCTCTCGCAGGGGAGGTGTGGGGGAGCGACCAGAGCCAGGAAACAAACAACAGATGAAAGCGAGGCTGCAGACGACAGCATGAACCTCAATGTCACCAACAGCAGCCAGTCTGAGAGGAAGCTCTCTCGTGTTTTTCAGTTCACTTCTGAGGATTTGCCACACAGATGTCCTTCACACTAAATCCGCTCACACGCTCCTTCATGCAGACTGGCAGACTCCACTCATCATAAATGATGAGAAGAACCTCTGCTTGTGGCTCTTGAAAGGACCTGTTACTGCAGTAAAACACGCTGTCAGTTAAAATCCACAACGTTGACGCTGTATTTGCTTTGCTGCATACTCACTGCGGAGTGAACCGTGGATGCAGGACTGCTGAGTCAAAATGAGTGTTTGAGTGTGCAAAAAGACAAGGGAGACATTGTAATGTTTAAATATAAATTTGTATTTACATCGATATTAACATCAAGAAACAAGGTAAGAAAAAAAAAATGCAATAGTATTTTACATCCTGTAATAATGACTGTATGTTTCCCAGATGTGTTTTCTCTTTTCTTCAGTGCCGACGATGCACCGAGAAGAGTTTATTTCCTTTAAAGCAAAACACAGTAATTTTTTTTTTTTTTTTTTTTTTTATATTTGTAGGTTAAACTTTCATATTCTTCATTGAGACTGGGGTTAAAAAAAACAACTCCAAGCTATTATTCTGAGACATAATGACATCAATCATGAAACCTCCTTTCCGGCTTAGAAACATTCTCCTTAGTTTGCAGCACCACAATTCAACTGGCCTTAAGTTCTACAGAAAGGAAGAAACAATCACAAACAAAAACTCAAACCACCTCAGCAGAACCAGACTCATGTCTACTCTATGTCATGGGGGATATAATATATGCAATTAAACATATTTAGTTCAATGTATATTATAGGTTATGTGCAACAGTAAAAGCACACATGAGTACTTGCACGATCTACGTCAGGAACTGTTTCTAAGCACTGCAGAATGACAAACAAAAATCTTTGGATTGAGCATGTGTTCAAAGGTAGATTTCTCAACAAAAGCTTCACAGGAAACACGATGAAAATAAAGGCAAACTTAAATGTTTAAAAAAACAAAAAAACAACAAACCTGTCAAGAGATTGACAAGTAATTAGGGATTCAAACTACTTCTTGTGTTGCTTCCATGAGGATTAAACAGCTGTGAACAAACCTAAAAAGGACTTATGGACAGTTATACAGTGGAGACTGATTTCCAAAGTCTTGTATCTAAAGTCGCACATGGAAGCATGAGGTTCTGTTCTGAAAATATCAACCCCACAATCTGGTAAGACATCTGGGCCCCTAAGAAGCCTAACACAATCATGTGTCAACTCTTTTTGTATAGGCATATTTTGTGTTTTTCTCTCTTTTTTTGTTTTTTGTCAAAAGAAAAATAATTTATTAAAAAAAAAAGTACACACTAGCACCTCTTTAGCTAAGACTATGTCCTCAGAAAATAAAAAGAGCTTTCTGAGAAAAAGAAAGTGGCAGTATGAAAGAAAATCTACACGTACTGCTTACAAAAAGGAGGCCCTTCCTTTCCAACCAATGGTTAAAGTATTGAAAATAAAAGCTGACCTATGACGGATTAAGAAAATTACACTTTTAAATATCAAGCCTTACAATCTGTGCAAAAACAGTATGTGACCTACAAAAGCATATATATATTTATATATAGTACATTTGAAGCGTATTTACAATTCATATTCACAGACAAAAGAGAAAAAAAAAAAAAGCTCCAAACAAGATATCATGTCTAATACTGCAGTGCCGTCGCTTTGAGTAAATTATACTTCAGCTTTGTCCTCAGAGGAAAACCAGGAGGAAGGATTATTGCTAGAAATCTGCACGCCTACACTGAAATCTAACATACACTTTCTCTTACAGTGTGAGCTCATATAAACATAATCTTATAATTGGCAATGAATTTCATTTCTGCACTTGTATTAACACTGTAAATTGGTGCAAGGTAACCAAAATATCTGCAACATTTGGGTTTTAAAATGACCACCGGAATGATAAAATGTTCACGACATGAATCTGTATGAATATAAGTTGAGTTTTGAACAGTAATAGAAGTCTGTTTGTTTCCAGAGTGATTTTTTAAAATGACTTAAAAACGGTTAATTTCTCCTGTTCTTATAAATCGGTTCACTGTAGACGAGAGCGTTGGATAAAATCTGTGCTTACTGCCTTTCTACTGGTTCCCACTTTAGAACAAAGATCATCAAGGTTACCCACTTCCAATCAACAGCGCCCATCACTCAAGAGAGGAAAAGTTGGAAAACACACACGAAAATAAACAGTACTGTCTGCTGCTATTCATTAATTCTTGGGTAAAGGCCTCTATATTGCCACAATCCTTTTGATGTTGGCCTTTCCTTAAAGTGCAATCAGCCAACAAGTAAATCAGTCGTACTTTAGCCCAGCGGCGTCCTGGAGGACGAAACAATGTGCTACTGCTTAATGACATTCAACTGAGTGTCACAATCTGATGGCTCGTCATCGAGAACCGTGTTTACTTTTACGTACACAGAGATCCTTCAGGAGCAGCAGAGAGGCGGCAGACAAAAATCTCACAAAGAAAACAAGAGAAGGAATCCCACTTTTTAAATCAGCACGCAGCTTCATGGTACATTCGACAAAGGAGAGGATGTCTTAACACGTTCGTCCAAGTCTGTGATCGAGTGTCTGTCGACCTTCACCGTTTGGTCCAGCAAGTGGTGTGTGTTTACTGAGGCACACACACAGCTCCTAAAGAGAGGAATATTAAAACTACAGCCTACAAGAGGGATCACACAGTTGTCTGTCTGACTGTCTTTTAAGATTTATGAGTTTATGTGTGTCACAGTGTTTCTGATTCTTATGAACGCTGTGTGTGTTTTCATTTATGTATGTGACAGTCTGTCTTGTTTTCCCCCCTGGTAGCCAGACTGCCATTACTGGCCACGAGTCCAAAGGAAGTTCACTCCCCCGTCTGGTGGGAGTGCAGCACTACACACACACACACACACACAGACACACACAGACACACACAGACACACACAGACACACACACACACACACACACACACACACACACACACACACACACACACACACACACACACACACACACACACACACACACACACACACACACACTGCCTGGTCCTCCACACACTCCAGTGCTGCAGCCGTGTCCTATCTCTGAATGGAGATCACAGTGAGACAAATGCTTCTGTCACGATGCTCAGCAGTATTTCTAGATTGAGGGGAGGAAAAGAGAAACAAAATGAGGAAGTGCAATTGACCAAAAAGTTGTTTGTTCACAGGACAGGATAGGTTCACATGTCAAGGCTATCTTAAAATAATACTGACATTACATACACTGAAATGGTTATTTGTTGCTGTAATTGTACCCCCTGTCCACAGTGGGTGCAAATAAATCTCTTCTTAAAGCAATTTCAATTTAAGCAATGAGGAATAAATCCTCAAACCTCATTCTGTGCAGCTGAAGTTGAAACTTCATCAATCGGAGTTGGACACATCTTACAATCAAGTTAAAATCTTTTTAGTACAAAATTCTCTCTTTGTGTTGACACAATCAGATGCCAGGTTTTCATCCAAATGTAGCCTCAAATTTGACCAGAACAGCAAGTCATCTACTACCATTATGTAAGTATTAGGAGAAGGCTCATCAATGGCACTAACTCTCCAGTAACGTGCCATTGAACCATTGCAGATGAAGAGGGCGCAATTAAAAGAGCCTCTAACCTCGAATGGTAAAAATAAAGTAGAAAACGTGATGTTAATATGGGATTCATGTTTGTTTCATGTATTCATCTGTGGAAGGTTACAGTCTCCTCATCGCTCCTGACACATCACCGACATCTTTTGTCTTCTCAGTGGAAGAGAAGCTTCAGTGGGAGTTTAAGTCCCACGCTTCAAGTGCGTCATGATTATATCTGTTTCCATCGCACTTTGCCGCATTTTGCTTTTATTGATACACCAACGTTCCAGTGTTTTTTTTATGTGCATAAAACAAGTGGATGGAAACACACTCAGTTTTTTCTTGCTGAGCTACAACAGAGGGACAATAACACAAAGCAGAATGCAGAACCAAGAGACTTTAAATGTTGGTGAAACCCACCCGATTTAACAAACTCAGATTCATCCCATCTCTTACAATGAAACTGCTATAAAAAGAGATTTCTTTGCACCCACTATGGACAGGACGACTGATTACAACCCTTTCAGTGTACTCATGGACATTATTACAGTATTGTTTTAAGATAAAATCTATCCTTTAAGCACTCAGTCTCTCCTACTCTCTGCACCTACCTGATCAGGCCCCATAGGCATGCGTCCCATCACCATCGGGTTCATACCCATCTGCCCTCCCATCTGGCCCATGTGACCTCCTCCTCCACTGGCTGGCATGCCCCCGTTCATCATCATGCCCCCATACTGGCCTGGATTCCCCTGCTGCCCAAACTGCTGCTGCCCTGGAGGTCCCTGCTGCCCAAACTGCTGCTGTGGGTACGAACTGGTGAAGGAGAGCGACAAGAAGGAAGAATGTTTTTCAACTGTACGCATTCAAGAAAAGAAAAAAGCTTAACTTTCTCCCGGAGGGCATCTTACAGCACAGTGTTTTAGTACCTGTTGCGTCCCATGCCCCCCTGCGACCAGCCTTTCATATCGGCACCCTGGTACATCGGGCCGCCCTGTGGATGCTGTTGCATCATGGGGTTTTGAGGCCCCAGGCGACCGGGCATCATGGCGTTAGGAGGACTGCCGCCTGAGGGGCCGAACGAGGGGTCTCCCTGCTGGCCCATCCCTGTGGAAATAAATCATCAATCAAGAAACAGAGAATTGAAAACTTGGTGATAAATAAAGATAGATGGCGATCCTGTTGCCTGGGAGTGTGTTCTGATACTTACTATCCCTTCAATAACAATATTTGGTCTGACTATAAAAAAACAGAGACAAGGGAGATGTACATATACAGCAAATTTTGTTTTTTGACATAAATCTGCTAATCTTCTTTTTCACATGACAAATATGAGACCAGAACCCTGCAGTGCACAGACTCACCACCAGGGAGCAGCAGTATTCTGTTAGGCACCGAGCACAGCAGACTCACCATAGTTCCCACCGTAGCCAAACTGCTGGGGGCCCGGCTGGCCCATGCTTGGCCCTCCCATAGGATTGTCCATGCCACCAGGAGCCGTGACGTTTGGAGGCGGACTGAAGCCTCCTGCGGCTGCAGCAGCGGCCGCCGCCGCCTGTTGCTGCTGCTGCTGCTGCATCAGCATCATCATGCGCTGCCTCCTCATCTGCATGGTCACCATCTCCCTGCTGCGCTGAGCCATCATCTGAGCATTGAGGAATCCCGGCTGCACGAAACAAATATAATCAGAGAGTTTAATATAATTTGGAGCTTTGTTAAAATATACAGGTTTTAAAAAGGTACCAGATGTAATGTTGGAATGGGTGGGTGATAAGGTCTCTTGGATAAAAATCTGTAATGTTATTTAAATTTTACTGAACTACAGCAGTCAGATAACTTTAGTTAGTTGTATCAGATGAAAGGTATGTTTAAGATAAGGGGAAAAATGCTAAATTTTATACCAACGACAACAGGTTTACACAGACCGTATCATTGACTATCAACTTAAAGGACATATCAGACAAATCAGTATCAGTCAGTATTTCTGTGATTCATCTTTAGAGTTTTTGTCATCTACCTGTCCTCCCATGCCAGGCTGCATGCTGGGCCTCATGCCAGGGTTGCCTCCCGGGTTCTCCATCTTCATGCCCATGCCCTGCCGTGTCTGATTCATGAACTGAGGAAAGAAAAAGAACATTTACTATAAAGACGGTCCTGCTTCCACATACCGCATAATTACGAATACATTATACATAAATAAACATAGATGGTGCATAATTTTGCTTAGAAAAACAAAAAATCTGGACCATTTTGTAATAACAAAAAACCTCTACAACAGACATTGCTGCAACTCAAAAAGTTTCTATTAATTTATATGTTTATTTCTAGCTGTTGGATGAAAGAAATGTGTTATTCTTCTATTATAAACACACTACAATCATGTTTAGATAAAAATTATTTTATCTAAAATGATTTATTTATTAGGACACAAACTGATTGTTTGTATGTAAAGTGTATACAAACACTATGTATGTATCAGTTAGCTTCCTGTAGACATACCTGCTGTCCCTGCAGCCTCTGTTGCAGCTGGAGCCTCATGGGCTTGTTGGCAGTCATCATTCTGGGTCTCATCATGTTGGCACGGGGGTGTCCCATGCCGCCCATTCCACCCATGCCGGGGAAGCTGCCACCTTGGCCCATCTGAGAGAGCATGGGCCCAAACCCCCCCTGCTGGGCCTGTCCCTGCATGGGGTTCCCACCATAGCCAGACTGCATAGACATTGGGGGGGGTCCGGGATAGCCCTGTCCATAGAGAGGCTTCTGGTCCAGCACCATAGACGGGTCCTGCCCTGGAAAAGGCTCCATCTGCTGCTCGGCTCCCTGGGTCTGGAGCAGACAGGACAAGAGGACAAAAAGAGAAGTTTGTCAAACTTCTCCATATAATTGATTCATTTCCAATTGGTTGGCTCTGTAATTGTCTTTTTCTAAGCAGCACAGACGTTGCCCTCTGGGCTCATCCATCTCCCTTCAGTAAAAGAACAGTCTGAACACAGAGAGTCATGACTGAAATATCTAATGCAAAGATGAAGGTAAGGCTCATTTATGAGCCACGACATGTAGACCGATCATTTCTCTTTTTACTTCTGGAGGGATCCTGGAGAGATTCAATTTTTTGATCCGTCTTTTTATATCTTTTCTGATGACCTACCTGGCTGACGAGGTCTGGAATGCCCAGGGCTCGGTCTATCTCCTCCAGAGCGATGCCATCTGTGTTATTCAGCAGAGAGTCCAGCTGGTCCAAAAGCGCCCGCTCATCGCTCTGACCCTCACTGGTGGTGGGAGGCACCAGAAGATCATCTAAATTGTTGCCAAACTGGCGTCTACGAGGCACAAAGACACACAGACACAGGAAGTTCATATAAACTGCCTCCTGAGCTCATTGCAGCTAATCAGGAATGAATACAGAGAATAAGGAATGTTGCACTGACCTGTTACCCTCCATGCCCATTATAGTGTCCGGCCAGGAGGGGGACTGGTTGGGCTGGCCCTGCTGGCTGAAGGGGCTCATACCCATACCCATATCAGCAGAGCCTCCTAAACCACAAAGACAAAATGTTTCTAATTTCTGCACATTGAGTGTGTCTGGACAGTCAGATGCTAGACGGTAGAGAGGGATGACAATGTAAAGGAAAAACCAACACCAAGTCTCAGGAACCCTCTCCATTCTCCTAATTTTTATTTTTATAAACCATTCAATGACCTCCAATCATTCATTCAGGTTCATTCATCCTTTAATGTGTCACTCCTCTATAGGATATAATGGACAGGGACGTACGAAGTGTATTCGTCGACATATGTAACATCATGTCAGATGTACAAAAAATACAAAACTGGTCATCAGTGCTGATTCTCAAATAAGTCAATCCACTACTTTGGTACAAACTGAAATAAAATAGATGGATTGCCATGAAATTTAGACATTCATGTTTCCCCTCAGGATGAACTGCAACTTTAGTAAACCCTAAACTTTTCATCTGGCAACACCATCAGTTAAAAACTTCAGCCTCAGCTGTACTTTGTGTTTAGTCCTAATCACCAAATGTTAGCACGGCAACCAACCAAACTACCCTGGTCAACATAGTAAACATACCTGCTGAACATCAGCAATGTTAGCATGTTTGCATGCTGACATTAGTACAGCCTCACAGAGGACTCATAGCCTTATGTTTGTGATAATTATATTATACACAGTATAACAGACGTACCCATTTCCATAAGCTGTTGCTGCAGCATAGACCTGGTGCCCGGTACACTGTTGGAGCGGCTGACCATAGGTCCAGACATCATGCCCTTGTTACTGTTGTACTCCATGCCCGGCCGCATCATGGAGGGGTGTCCAGCTGAGCCCACAGGGCTGGCACTGGAGCGGGGCATGCCCCAGTCTGCCGAACCCCCCATGGGAGACCTCTGGGGAACCATACCTCTATTCATTGGTCCTGCTAAAACATAAAAACCAGGTGTGCATGTGTCAGTATCATTAAAAGTGTTTAAAAAGAGGAGCACAGTCTTCTGTCCTCAACATTCAGACACAGACTGCCTTTAAAGTTTAATGGTTATCTGATAATACGTTACAACAAATTTCAATATAGAGAGGGAGGCAGAGAGAGGCGAGAGAAAAATGCTGAAAATGTTACACACCCATGTTTCCTGGGTAGCCGTCTGGGCTGCCCATCATGTTCTCCTGCTTGATGAGCATGGGGCGTCTACCTGCTCCTCCAGGCCCTGGAGGCTTCCCGTCCATGGACATGGCCCTTTGGAAGGGCCCCCGAGGCCCCGGACCTATTCCAGGACTCCCTGTAAACAAAAATTATGAACACATTGGTCACACGCTACTCTGTCTTCCTAAGTAATAGCGATAATAATGTCTATGTTCCATGAAATTAGGTGATAAAAAATTGAAATGAAATAACCTATATTAGTACCCTCTGGCATTTAGAAAATATTGATATCTTATAAGAATGAATACATAAAAAACAAGCATAATTTTTCATAGTATTTAATCCTGCTATGATGTAGAACACAATTTTAAACAGCTACAAGCTCTAAATTAAATAAGTGTATTCCTAAAAAATAAAGCCCAGCTAGAGAAAAGGAGTGAAAATACTGAGTCTTGTATGAAGACCAGAAATGAAGCTGTAAGACGGCGTATAAAGATACCAGATGTAGTTTCACTGGCATTTTCTATTGACATCATCACATGTGATGTCTTAACGCTCGCCCTGCATGTAACTGTCACTTCATATAGGCTTTGGTCCTTGAACCACTCACCTTGCAGACTGTCGTCAAGGCAACCCTGGGGTTTGTTTCCCGACTCGTTAGCCCCTCCACCTCCAGCCTGCTCCTGGTAAAAGTCAGAGCTTGAACCCCTCAAATCTCCAAGGATAGATTCCAGGTTGTGCAACTGAACATTAAAATAGGCCAAATTAGTTATTGCGTAAATGTCTATGAACGTTCACATTCATCCAGATCACAGGCAGGAAGTCAAAGGCAATAACAAACAGCAGTTGCCTTTGGTGAAACATAGATATATGTACAGCTAGCTTAATATCAATAACCATATTATCACTGCAGTTATTCAGTCATGTCTTAACAAAGTAGCAGTCTTACGTCATCAGGTGGCTCTGACTTGATCTTGCTCTCGGGATGTTCGGGTGCAGGGCCAGGTCCTGATCCAGGGCCGCTCCGTGCAGGGCCGCCAGCGGCCCCTGGAGCTCCCTTCCCGTCCAGGTCTTCGACTTTAGGCTTGACATCGGCTGGCTCTTTGGAATCATCCTTGTTGAGGAGGTAGTGGAGGAGGGCATGGGTCTTCTCCTTTTTGGGGCTATGCTGCTCTTGCTTGGGCTCCGTCATCCCAGGCCCGGTCCCAGCCCCCGATCCTCCTGCTCCAGCCTCACCGCCTTCCTGGTTCCCCAGTGACACCTTTCCAGTAGCCTCAGCTGTGATCTTAGCTACTTCATCTGGGGTATTGCCATTTTGCAGAAGCTTGTGGAGGATCTTGTGCTTTTCTTGCAGTGAGCCTGTGTAGTGGGCTGACGATAGCGATGCTGACACACCCCCTGGCCCAGTCGCTTGGCCTGGATTGGCACTGGCTGAAGAAGAGGAGGAGACCCCAGTAGACGACGGGCTAGTCATGCCTCCAATGGGGTCTTTATTGTCTGAGCCTGCAGGAGTGCTGCTGCTGGTTGGTGGGGGTGGTACAGGGGGCCCTGTTGGCCCGCTGCCACCTATTCCCAGTTCCTCAGTTGGGGAAGTCAGCAACTGTAGCAACTTCTTATGCCCCTTACTGTCTGGCACCCTCCGAGGGGGTTCTGAGCTCGCCACCCCAGCCTCATTGCTTCCCTCTCCAGGCTCTTTAGTGGCTGTTGCTGCCTGACTGTCTGGTCGGTCTCCAGAACTCTCAGCCTGAGGATGCTGATGATGGTGGTGATGGTGCATGGGGTGGTGATGGTCACTGGGCCCAGGCCCCAAGCCTCCCGCAGGGCTTTTAGAGCCGTCTTGGCCTGGTTTGGCCGGCTGACTGGGTTGAGAGGAAGTGGAGGAGGAGTGGATGCTAGGAGAGCTGTCTGGTTTAAGAGCTGGCGAGGGGGACGTTAGGGTTGAGGGGAGGGAGCTCCCTACTCCTTCACTGATTGCTTGTAGAGCGTTTAGGGAGCTGCTGGAGAAGGTGGTGGTGCTCCCCCCACTTCCTCCACCACTGACAATGCCACTCATGGGAGAGTGTATGCCTGAAAGGGAAAATATAAGTCAAATGAATCCAATGAATTAATAAATAATTGATGCTAAATGAATAGACACTGATCAACGTACCTCCAGGTGAGAACTGGTTGGCGCCCATCTTTGGGCTCCCTCGGTTTCGGGGAGACATCAGGAGTCCCTGCTGGGGGCCGCCCATTCTGGGGCTTCCTGAAGGGCTGTTCATGCCACTCAGCCCAAACCCTCCGCTGCTCTGAAATGGGGGCTGCTGTGGGTGCTGCTGCATGCCTTGGCTCGGGTGATTCATGGGACCTATCTGATTCATCTGATTCATGTGCCCAACCTGATTCATCTGGCCCATCTGATTCATCTGCATCATGCGGTTGCCCATGCCTCCGCCTCCACTTCCTCCTCCACCGCTCCCTCCGTACATAGAGCCACCTCCCATCGGACCCATGTGACCCATGTGGCCCTGCTCATTCATGCCGAAGCCCCTGTTCATGCTGCCCATGCCACCCATCCCCATCCCCCCACCGGTGTTCATGTTCATTTGGGCATTTGGGTTGGGTCCTCCCATGCTCTGTTGTCTCATAGTGTTCGGCATCATGCTCCCACCCTGAGCTGAGCGGTAACCATTTGGTTCCCTGTAAGGAAGGAGAGGGAAAACAAGCAAAAGAAAAATGTTAAAAAAATATACCCCCCCCACATGTACTGCTCTCAGACTTTAGACGCTCAGAATAAATGCAACTAAAATACCAGTTCCTGTGTGAAGTATTCTCACTGTTCACAGGACGTCAGAGCATAAAAGCTACTTCAGCTGCTACTTCAGCTATTGAATACCTTGGCTGCCTCGCGTAGATATGCTGGAAGGGCTTTTTAGTCAATACAGTAAATGACACATCCTTTGCTGCGTTTGAATGGAGTGTCATGTCTATATTTTCAGTTCCTGACCTCTGTAGTAGGTGAGTGGAGATGAAGCCTTGTGGCTCGTTGCTCATGGGGTGGCGGTAGAGTTTGCTCTTGGTCTGGGCTGTGACTGGAGTGCCGTCAGACAGGGAGAAGCGGTACAAGGGTGTCTCAGCGTGACCCTGCAGAAAGGCTATACAGACAGATAAAACGACAAATTAAAACACTGAAACACTAATCTGATGACAAAGGTCATCAATAACTGCCCTAAACCAACTCTGGGATTACAGTGAGGATCAATGTTGTAGAGCTCAAGACATTTGCATTCATGAGATCAATATTAATACACTAAATGCATGAGGTGTGTTTATATTTAAGTAGGTCTCATTGAGATTCTTTCTGAATGGAGGCCTGGCCAAGATAGGTAGCAACAACAAATTAAAAACAAATAATTTCAGTCAGACAATGTACTGTTTAGAGCTCTAACTATAGTATTAAAAGAGAGAAGATACACAACTGAGTAAACAGTTAATCAAATACCGCAACATCCTGATGATTCTGCCTCTAGCTCTTTCTATTTGGATTCAACAGCTTAAAGAGATGAATTTACTAAGTTTTTACTCCAGGTGAGTGTGCCTGTTTGTGTGTTACCCACCCTCATGGTAGTGGCGTTTATGCGACCAGGGCTGCCCGTCACTGTGCTGAAGGAACATCTGAATGCAACGCCTCAACAAATCCTCCCAGCCTGGACGCATCGACGCTCGCAGAGAGTTCTGATCGATCTGAATCAGTTTACCTGCCGGGGAGGACAGCACAGAGGGACGCAAGAAGGATGAGTCAAACCTGTTCATTGGTTAAGAATTAACATCATGGCTTGTTGGAGCTTTTGTGTTTGTTTAGTGAGCATTTAGGTTATGCAGCTCCTCACCTGAAAGCTCGTGCCGCGTGTTGAAACTCTCTGTTCTCTCCATGGCTGTCACCCGACGGGCCACACAGATCATACATGACTGAAGGTCTGCAAGTGATAGGAGAGGAATGTCAGTAATGTTTCATGATCATTGAATATACTGTATCATCATTGCAACTTCTCTTGCCCTCTCCTCTGGTTTAAACTCTTGACTTTCTAGGTGTCTGTAACAAAGGATGATGATGATGTTAATGGTCCTTTAATCCACATTTTGCACAATTGATTATTTTAGCATACTAAGAGCCTCCTCTAGTATTTCTCTGTGGACATTGTTTCCTACAATATCACCAGTTTCACCCAGATTTTATGTCTCCACGCATCCATAATGTCCTTGTTCCAGAAGAGAACATAGTGTACATTTGAGATGCTAAAAAATGTTACTGGTGATAGACAGCGAAGAGAGAAATGAGGGAAAAATTCAAATGAACTTCTAATTATGTACCCGAGTCCCTCTGTGTGAGAAACAAAGAAGAGATTGTTTAACTGCAAAGTGGTTGCTTGTAAATCAGTTTCCTATTTTAAAATCAGATTTTTTTAAATTTCTTTTAAAGATCCCCTCCAGACATATTTTAAGACATATAAAAAAAGTCTGCTTGGAATAATAATTTGTGCCTGATATGGGTTGCCTATAAAATGTTCAATTACCTTGTTAGAAATTCTTAAACTTACAGCCACTCTGGAATCAAAAATTCATAGAAAAGTCCATTCTCCATATATGTGCGCTTCAGGTTTTAGGTTCCTACACACTTGTGTATACTTGTACTTGTTGCAAGTTAGACCATGACTGCCTCCCAAACCAGTTGTCCTGCTCGTATCGTGTTAAACTCAAAATTAAGGTGAGCACAGAAAAACCTCCTCCTCCATTCAGTAGACTTCTGGTATCAAACTTTGCACATACATCATTCTGCACAGTGAAGGTCAAACAGCAATAAGCAAAACATAATTTTGAGAGCAGGGGGACTTAAATATTGCCAGTAAACACAGATGAATGTAATTTTTTTTACCCCTTTTCATGAACTAAAAGTGTGTACGTTTGTGACTATGCTAGCGTACCTTCGCCCTCTTCAATCATTGCCTTAGGCTGGGTAAGAGCAAAACACTGCATGGTCTCGTAGCGGGGCCCTCCTGGCCCCTCCTCCATGGGGCCGTGGGCGTGGCCAAACTTGACCAGCATCCGGCAAGTGAAGGTGTGACTCTTCTGTCGGGCCGCCTCGCTTCCCCACGACACTCCATTTACTAAAAATACAACACAAATGAACATAAATTCACACTTTACACTACACCAATTTAAAAATGGGATGAGCATGTAGCTCATGGGACTGAAACCCAAATGCAGCTATGAATGGATTTCCTGTAATCAAATATCACAATAGCCTACACCCCTTCCTGCCGCAGATTCTCTCTCACACACACACACACACACACACACACACACACACACACACACACACACACACACACAGAGACAGGACAAACAAACAAAACAAACAAACCACACTGCAACATGTATTTTCCCTCTTAAATTGAGAAGCAGAAGCCTCTCCGGCTGTTCGGATCCCTGGCTAAATGGACCATGGGATTAATGTAGCCAAGGTGTCGATTTCCAATATCTCTCCCTCTCAGTCTGCTCTGCAGCGGGCAGAGGCCAGGGACACTCAGCCATCTATCCTCATTTAGGCCCTGACTCCTCATCACTGCACACACACACACTCATTTAGACGGGGTCACCTTCACAGGGGAGAGGGAGGAAGAGAGAGAAAGGGGAGGCAAACTTCAGAGAGACATCCAACTGTCCTCCAAGGTCTGTGTGAAGCCTTATCGGGGGCCTTGAGTTGGCTGGAGGTTTCTGTCTGGCAGGTGCAGGGAGGCTACAAGAGAGGACCCAGGAGAGAGAGACATGTCGGGGCGGGGGGGTAGGATTGTGGTGGTGGAGAGGAGCTAACTGATAGTGAGAGGTGATTTAACAAGGCCTTGGGTTTTCTCTCCTCGACAGAGAAAACGCAGCATAGTCGCTGGGGCCGACATCTCCCCTCAGACACAATTAGCCAACAGCGAGGCAAGACGGAGGGGTCAAAAAAACACACTGGGCAACAACAAAAGCTCACTTCATGTTTTGTGCATTGAGTGCGTGTCTGTTTTTGTTAGTGTATGTGTATCTTGGGTGCTTGTGTGCGAGTGTGTGTATTTAACTGTAGCTGGCGTGGTCAGCGGTCATCCCGCAGGAATGTGCAGCGAGAGCGTATTTCATTCATGGGTCCAAAAGATAATGAAGGGGCAGAGCAGCAGAGCGAGACACAATGAGGGGTGGGAGAGCAGCGAGAAGCAGGTTGAGAAACAGACAACCACAATATTCATCTTAGTAGGCAGCCATATTAAGTATGAATGAGGCCGGGAAAGAGTGAGTTGAGAGAGGCACAAGGGACGCTCAGAGGAAAAGTAGATAAAGATGAGTTTTAAAAGACAAAAAGAGTGAATGAATAAAGGAGCATGCAGGGGAAAGGGAGGAATAAGTGAGAGAACGTGTCAATGACATGTCGGAGCCGCCGCTGCTTAGAAACATTACTGCGGAGTTAATCGAGTAGCAGGTTCAGTCGAGCACACATATCCATAATTAATCAGCTTTATAAATAGTGCTCTGTGCACATACTCATGGGCTTACACACACACACATACACATGGGCAGCACCTTCAAAAAATACAATCCCATTACTGACATATATGCATGTAAATATACACAATAAGACACACACGTGCACATGCAAACACACAGTGAATTAAGCAGAGGAAAGTGTAGATGTGCATTATTCAGCAGTAAGTAGTTTCCAGATGGCTGCCATGGGATCTGAATGAAGCTCAGGCCTGTTTTACACTGTCTGGACCACTGAGTGTGACTGACAGCTGCGCTACGCTCTGCCTGCTTAGCACCGAGTGGGTGGGTGCTCCTGTGCACGTGTGTTTTTGTCAGGGTGTGTGTGTGTGTGTGTGTGTGTGTGTGTGTGTGTGTGTGTGTGTGTGTGTGTCTTTCTGCAAAGCTCTCATGCACGTGAACAGTCTTCCCAGGAGCTCCTCATTATAACAAGAGAAAAAGTTGAGTACGGAGGAGCATGAATAAATAACAGTGAATTTACGTCGACGTGCGCGATGTGTTGTTGTAACCTCTCAAAGTTTGTTTTATACCTTGGCCCAGTGGAAGATGTCAAGCAAGGTTTCCTTCTGAGCAGACGTGCTGCTTCCCTGTGAGTGTGTTTACGTGCGCAATGTGTGTGTGTGTGTGTGTGTGTGTGTGTGTGTGTGTGTGTGTGTGTGTTTCTCACTGTTGGTCTTGGGCAGGTTCTTGTGGAACTCCTCCCTGTCGTCCTCATGGAGAATGTTGTACACGCTGGTGTTGATGAGCTCCTCCTGTTTGTACTGCAGGTACTGCGTCACGTTGTCCGACACAAACACGATGCTGCCTTCCCGGTTCACCACAAACAGGAAGCCGTCCAGAGCCTGAGAGCACAGCGACAGGAAGTCACCACCGGCCAGGTTGCCAATCACACCTTGGATAAATATCGTCCGCTCGACCGGGGTGGAGCGCTGGACTCACCTGCAGCAGGAGAGGCCCCAGGTGGTCTTTGTCAATGACCCCCTGACCTGTCGAGGACACATCTGACTTCTGGACGTCGTCGTCGTTGGATGAAGCTTTTCCTGTAGGAGAAGAAAGGGAGGGGAAAGAGAGGAAACACACTGAAAAAAAACCTCACCACAAACAGCAATTTCAAGCCCAGCTGCCTACAAAGAAGCAAAAAAAGAGCAAAGGAGAAACACAAGGTGAGAGCAACGATACCTGAAACTGGAGGAAACAGCCAGTCACTCACTACTCAAGCTGCACCAGCAGGGGGCAGCGTTTCTCAATCTTCACTTTTTTGTGTGTGTATGGTTTTAAAACTACAGGTGAGGAGGGAGACGGACGGAGGCAGGTTTCTCTGAGGAGCCCGTCAGGAGGAGTAGAGGGCTGGGTGCATGTGGAGCAGGTAGCAGCCGTCCTCATGCTTTATATTCAGTGTCAGACTCTGAGGGACTGTCTGGTAGGCTGGGGCTGAGAGAGAGAGAGAGTGCGCGCGGGAGAGAGCTAGAGAGGCTCTGGAAGCTGTAATGGTGCAGGGGCAGGAGCTGAGGCACCTGAATTAATGGAGGGGCTGAGTCTGAGAGAGGGAAAGAAAGACAGACAGATAAAGAGAGAGAGACAGGAAGGACCGGAGCTGAACCAGGGGGATGTGGACAGAGACGATGTTGACAGAAAGCGGCTAGTGTTTGGGTTGTTGTATTAATGCAGGGCTTGGTCTGAGAAAGAGGCGGGGGCTGCTCGGCTACAGGAATCATTCTATCTGATTAGCTCCCAAGGGGCACAGATACCCACACAAAGAAAAAAAAAAGCCACTGCTGCCTATAGCTCGGCACTGTGAAGTTAGGTAGAGAAGGACTGAGAGAAAGGAGAGGGAGAGGAAGAGGAAAGAGTGTGCGTGAGACAGAAAGAGGGAGGTTGCACTCAATCAGTTCACTCAATATCTTAAGATGCTGGGAGCAAACCTGGAGACGCTGCAACTCATTGTGCTGCAATACAGATGGGGGGGGCAAGGAAACAGAAGAGGAGATGCATGAGCAGAGCACATTAAATCCAAGTGAGATAAAAAACAAGAATGATTGATGGAGAAAAGAGCAAAAATAAAGACTGGCAGAAAGAGCAACTGAAAGTGAGAAGAGGAGAAGAGGAACAGGTAGAAAGCGAGATACGAGTCTAAACGCCTGTGTCATTTCTGTCTTCACTTCCTGTAACTATGGCAACCTGTCAGCAGCCAGTCAGGGCCAGCTGTAGCCTCTTCCCCTTCCTGTCGAGGTGGCAGACGCTGACTGAGCCGAGCAGAGACACAAGAACAAAATTCACCGCCGGCTCTCGACCTGATCTCGAGAAATTCGCCTTGAAAGAAAAATGTACACTGACAAAGGTCTGAATGTAAGAGTTAAAATATTCCCATTCTGCACTGATGGTGCATCTGCAAAGCAAGAGTTTAAGCCTGCAGCTTTCTGAATTGTTCGCTGTAGAAATGACCGCTGCATAATGGAAACAGAACTATGACAATAGCAGCTGTAACAGAACTAATAATTTGGCAGTTCAGCGGAATGGATGGGCATGTGATTACCTGCAAACATCCAATTAAACAGCCCCTGGCGAGGCCAGCACACAGCTGTGCATGCCCATAATACACACACATACACACACACGAATGACAGGTTCACAAAGCATTGCCAATGTTTCCTCCCAAACATAAACAGTTGAGACTGTGAAATTTGTGGGAGATGAATGACTGATTCGTCCTTGCACCTGGGCTCTGAGGAGGCACTGTGTGTGTGTGTGTGTGTGTGTGTGTGTGTGTGTGTGTGTGTGTGTGTGTGTGTGTGTGTGTGTGTGTGTGTGTGTTAACCCCCAGCTGTCTCATCCTCTTCTCTCCCTCCTCAACACCTTTCCCAATGTTTCCTACACACACTTCTCAACAGTCCATCTGAGTTGCGGTGCACCTGTCCGGCTCCAGCTCTTTAGGATTTCAGACAACTGTGTCCACTCACCCTGCTCTTTGATCTGGCGGATCTGGCGCACCGTCTCTTTGAGGATGGCACATTTGTCTGGTTTGACGTTGAAGCTGTCGATGTCGCTAAGGTTGGCGGAGATCAGCTCCGCTAGCTCCTCTATGTATTTGCTTTCCTGCTCCCGTCGCTTCCTCTCACACCTGCAGAGGGCAATGTGCAAAGATTAAAGCTAAGCAAACCACTACTCCCCTCTTCTCAAACTGTTAGTGCTGTATTATATATTGAATGAGCAACTGATTGCTTATTGGGCACAGCACCTTTTAAGAGATTGTCCAGCAAAGAAATTCTAGCAAAAAAAGTCTGCAGCGGTTTCATTTGTAGCCGAAGGACATGCTAAACTATCGGCTGCTGGATGTAGTTTCATATTTATTGTACAGACGTGAGACTACTGCTACCACTAGTATGAGAGTTTTCTTGGCCTGTTTATGTGGTTTTAATTATATTTACATTTCAGTCCCACTTTTTTGACCTGATGAAGAGGTCAAAAAAGGGACCAAAAACGTTGTCTACTTAAATAATTTTGTGGTCTGGAGTCAGTGTCCAGGTGTATTATAATTACTTTTTTATCTCTACCATCCTGGGGAGAGACGATTTTTAATGATTTTTTTTTTTTTTAACTAAATAAGACTTTTACCAGGTTAAATAAAGAAAGAAAAGGGAAGACTTTTCTACCCAGAAAAATATTCTTGTATTTTGCACACATTTACTCATCACAGCACACAAAGGAGCCACATGGCCCGGGCTTGAGAAACCACTGACCCAGTAGCCCACTTTCCTGCATTTCCCCTCTCTTGTGCTGATCAGCCACACTCACCCCAGACCAGGCGTGTCGCAAGTGGAAAGCTTGCGTTTCCGGTTTTCTGAGCTCAGAGGCTCCATGGAGTTCTCCCCCAGTCCGCTCATCGTGTGCACATATCAGCACCTGAGAGGAAGGAGCACGCACAGGTGTAAATAAGGCTGTAATCGAAGCAGACAAGGGATTATATAGTCCCTATTAGCCTTTTAGCTCTTATTACATAGGTAATTGTGAAGGAAAGAAGACATGGAAATCGTCCTTTTGAACTCAGCAAAAATAACCAATACAGAGGCAGGTTGTAAAGTGGATAAAGAGCAAAACAGTACACAGCAGAATAAAATATGCTTATATCATGCAAATGGTATTCTCCTGGCAGATACTGACGATCATAAACATGTCTCGTCTGCCTCCTCCTCCTCCTCCTCAGAAAAAGAGAGTAAGCATGTGAGGTTTTGTTTGTTTGTGTGTGTGTGTGGGCCTGTGCATGCACGAGTTCATCAGCTCATATGGCACACACACAGACACAGACACACACAGACACACACACAGACACACACACACACACACACACACACACACACACACACACACACACACAGGATTAGCAGTGTCTCTGATGATAAGCCACGCTGCACAACTAACCCCGTTAGACAGCCGTCTGTCTCCCATAATGCTTCACATTTCGTCTCCAGGAAGTGAGCTGATAAAGGTTGTGGGGAAGAGAGGCAGATGGGACGAGAGGAGGCGAGGAGGAGGAGGAGGAGGAGGAGGAGGAGGAGGAGGAGGAGGAAGAGAAGGGAATAGAGGGAAGGAACCCAAGAAATAAGGGAGGGAGGGAGAAGCCGGTGCTGTGAAGTGGGCTCTGATTGGTCACTTTCTTTGCCACAGTGACAGCAGCTGACACTGGGGAAAGGTAGGAGGGAGGGAAGAGGATGGAGGAAGGGAGGGAAGAGAGGAAAGTAAATGAAGGGGGGAGAGCACAAATATAGTGGAAGACGGAGGATATTGAGAGAAAACGCAGAGGAGGAAGAAATACAGAGGGGGGGAATCAGAGCGAAAAGAGGCGGAGGCAGTAGGAGGGAGCGAGCTGAGAGAAAGAGAGATAAAGGCATGTCAAAGAAAGACAGGAGGGAAGGGGAACAGGTGAGATGGGAAGAGGAGGAGGAATTAGAGGAGATGTAACATTCAGACTATCTGGTGTGTGTTTTGAATACATGTGTGGCGCACAGAGTGGGCTGAAAGCCTCCAGTACCCCTCTTAACCTTCACAGCCAGAGCAGCTTTTTCATTCCATTGATTACATGGTTATCCTCTGACCAGAGCACTGCCTCTCTTGCATAGCAAATCAGGCCAACGGCAGGGGAGAGATGCCGGCCTGTTATTTAATCACCATGCACCATCATCTCAGGCTCCTTCTGGTGGGATCAGAGCAGTCCACGAAAATGTCTGATTGCGTTCGGCTTTTCTTTTTTTATTGTTCTTGGATAGAGAATGTTCTAATCTTTAGTTGTGCGCTCGTGGCTCGCAACAAGATCATATCCGGCTGAAACAAGCAGTGAACACACCTTCTTACTGACACAGAATCAATATGAGGGCTGCTTTCATGCATGTCTTCAAGACCAGGTGAAACACAAGTGTATTCCCTTGCAAGACAACAACGGGGAATACTCAAAATCTTCTTCTAAAAGCAAGAGATGCTCTGAAGATGCGCAGATCCTCTTGCTCAATCCCTCCCGCTTTGAGTTTCTTTCAAATTTCTCTTTTAATCTCTCCCCTGAGTACATCCCGTCTGACTGTCTGTCTGACTGTCTCGTTGCCTTTGTCTACTTGCCTACCTGCGTCTCTTCTTGCCTGTCTGCCTGTCTACCTGCCTGCCTCCCCGTCTGCTGCTCATCGTTAGACAAAACCCCCGCTTGCTGTTGTCTGATGAAACCTACCACGAGGGAGACGAGAAGCACATGAGCCAAAAAGCAGTGAGGGAGAAGTACAAAGTCGGAGGGTTCGAAAGAGTGTTTGAGTGAAACTCCGTCTTTGCTCCTCCGCCGATTGAGCCCGCCCGCCTGCCTGCCAGCCTATTGATGGAGTTCTCAAAGGGGGAGTTGCTCTAATTGCGGAGTGAATGAGGCGGCCCCAGAGAATGGTTGATTAGGAGGCTGCTGAATGCCCCAGGGAAATGGGTCACCTCCAGCCTGGCGCGGGCCGCCCGCTTTTCTAGTGCAGGGAGAAAGTCAATTACACGCCACAGGCAGTGGGGCCTGGTGGCAGAGAGGCAGCAGGGCTGCGGTGGGTACAATACAGCAGCAGGGGGCAGTGGGAATGAGAGGCGTAAAGAGGGAAATGGGAGAAGGTGATGGCAGTATGGAGGGCAGCGAGAGGGAGAGGAGCGATGGGCATGAAGATGGCAATTTAAGGCAGAAAGAGCGAGATGCAGTAAATGTGAGAGTGTAGAGCCAAAGGCAGACAGTAAGTTAGTTTCTCTGCACCTGTGTTAATGCACATTTTGAGTTAGAGCATTACAAAAATGGTTATTAATGGTGGCTAAAATGGACCCAGCATACTCAAATAAATGGTGGATATACTGTGGCACACAAACTGGCAACCATACACACATAATCTGGATATTCCCTAAATTAGGAACAATTTGGGAAGAGGTTTTTGAGGCACAAGTATTCAACTAAAAAGGGTTTAATACCAGTAGGCATTGATGGAAAGAGCAATTAATTGCATCACAATTGTGGTTAAAGGCTGAGTCCTCAACGTACAATACATGGACTGGGAAGGTATGAGGAATTTACCAGATGGCACACATAAAGTTCTCCTTGAGAAAAATAATATTTATATACATTTGTATGTAATATTTATTAAAAAGATGGAGCCCAGCCATGACTATACTTATACAGTGAAGTGATTTGAATCATACATGTATGAAGCCATCTTTGTCTTTCCAACTCATCTTACCTTTCTGACCATTCACGGTAAATGGTTACAGTATACAGCTAATTTGGAGGAAACAAGTCTTTAAGGTCGTTAAGAATCAATGCAGCAGCAAGTATTCTGCTGAAGATACTAAACCCTCTTAAACACATACATGAACATTAAATATTAGTTCAGCACTGGGTGGTAGAGGGAGTTATACCAGCAAACGGAACTGGTAGATGGATTAAGGCTGAAGTATACTCCATCAGAAGATTTGGTTGAATAGTTAAAAGGTCCAGTGTGTAACATTTAAGGAGGATCTATTGACAGAAAAGCTGGTTTTCGTTACCTTAGAATGAGACATTTTTATCTACAGACGCTGTGGCTCGGCTTCCATGTTGAACTGCCATGTTTCTACAGTAGCTCAGAAGGCAGGTTTTCACAGCCACCGTAGTTTCTCCTACACACTTCCAAAACTGTTCTCATTCCCAGATCATCAAACAGAGACGCGAGTGGTGTCCAGTTAGTTGCGATCTGCAACTTCACCGTTAGATGCCACCAAACCCCCCCCCACCCCCACACACACAGGTCCTTTAAACAGCTTCAGAAACACCAGGTGTGTGGAAATGAGAAAGTAAGCAGGTTTTCTTTTGTCCCATTTTTCATTCTTTACACAACTATTTGTCACTTTTCATGTTTACAACTGAAAATGTCCGCCCTTAACCCAATATTTAAGTGATTACCATGTCTCGCCCCGCTCTAATGTCGGACAAAGTTTTACTCTTACAGCTGCTCTTTCTCCCTCTTCAGAATATCACAGTTCATAATGGAAACGTACTTTGATTGTGCACCTTTTTTTTCGGAAATTTACATAACATTTACACTTGAGTGTAAATTAACTGGAAAAGGAAGGCATCAGTCATGATCCACCAGCTAAGAGTTAGACAGAAACAAACATATCCCCCAGGCGATAAGACTTCTGCATTTGCTTCTGATCGGCTGCGTGTTCATTTAAGTCTATAGACTAAATCATATAGTTAAAGATGTCTCAAAGACATTAATCAGGGCGATAGTGGGAAGCTGTTAATCAGAGTGGTTCCTAGGCAGCAGCGGCTTGTGACTTTGCCAGAGAGACAAATAAGAACAGGACAAAGAATTTAGCTCTCATCTGACTGAGCCATCATGGGAGAGTCTTCTTTTCTTCTTCTGACATGTACAGTACAGGTGAATGCACCCATGCAAGTAAGCAGCTCTGAACTTCCACACTAAGTTTGACCTGGTTCTCAACCCTGATCTTGACCCGGGCGATTTCAAGGGGTCACCGCCTTCACGCTGACAGTTGACCTGTATATCTTCCGGGTCATTAGCTGGGTGTGAAAGGAGGATCACTCAGGTCAACAGTGCTGTGGCATCACCTGGGGTGAAGCTAAACTCTTTGGGTCTGCTACAGGACAGCAGCCTGCCAGTGACCCTGGAGCATGAAGCCCAGAGGGAGCACTGCTCACCAGGAACCACAGACTTTATGGCTTCATGGTTAAACCAGAGGAAACGCTTCATCTCATGAACTAGAAAACATGCAATCCAATCCCAGTTAAGTTCACATGCAACAGGAAAGACATGAGATTTAATTGTGATACATTAGCTGTCACAATATCCCCTTTATCAAAACTTTGTTCCATGAAAAGGTACCTCGAGCACTAAAGGCCAGGTTTGTATGACATTTACTGTAGCTGTTTATGGCTCCCAGAGGATGAATCCCAAATGTTTCTTGTTGACCCTTGACCTTCCTGTTCACAGTCCTCACAATCAGGCCAAGGTTTCCTCTTGCATACAAGAAATATCAATATATATATATATATATATTAAAAGCCATTTCCAGACACAGAAAACATAACATTTGTGGCTTCATCCATCAGTTAAAGGCTTTTTGACGTTTTTTTTTTCTTTTCAAAATCTTTTTATCGAGGTTTTCAACAAAAACACTCCCATATTGGGCACATATTGGTTAAAAAATACACATAAATGTAGTATTGTATATAAATAAAAAAACTCAACAAAAAACCGCAATGACATTGTGCCTTGTAGATGACATCTAGATGTCTTCAAATAAATTAAACTAAAGTTATAATTATTTCCATGAAGTCAGGTGTTATTTTGTGCCATGGGCAAAGTTAAAATGCAAAATGGGTCTTTTTTGAGAATTTGTTCTCAGAGCCACTGACTGAGAATCAGACATTTTCTACATAAATGTTCCTTACAGCTTCATTCAGACATCACTGACTGAGACACAATGCTTGTGCAATATTAGGCAAAATGTTCAATTCACATCTACATGCAAGGGCAGATCTAAAGGAGGGCATGGGGTGACAGCTGCCATTTTTAAAATAATGTGTTAAAAAACAGAACTTAATTAAACGATAGACTGTCTAGGTGTGTAAGTGATAGGCTTAAGTTCAATGAAAAGGACACGTATTTGCAAATGAAAACAATTTATTGATTTATAATGTCACCTTTAGATATTTCTATTCAATGCCACAACAATTTAATGTTTTTGAGTTCATATGTCTTCATTTGGGGGATTTTCCAAGCAAATATTGATATATGTGATTGTTTGCAATTCATTCAGCGTATATCTTTGCCACCCTCTGGCCACCCCATGAATATTTCTCTAGATCCGCCCCTGGCTGTATGTAAAGCATTTTACTGGATAGAATTAATTTCCTCCGTGCAGTTGGCATGGATGAAATGTTAAAATAGGGAGCGAGTGCTGCTCAGGTTATTATTGAGTATATCCGTAGCAAAATTGTCATCATGCTGTTTGTCTTAAAAATTAAATCCATGTGACATTTCAGCCCCTAGGATTTCTGTTTTGTTTCACTTATTTATTTATTTTCCCAGAATAATCACAAAATGTTTTATTGTAGCAAAAGAAAATTAAGTTTGCAAAGAGATTTTGTTATTTCTGACAATAACCTTTAAAAAGTCTGTAGAGACGATGGATTAAACTTCCAATATTAACTATTCATTTCATGGATATCAATCAGATAACATTTATTTTAAAATTGAAAAATGAATTAGTTCTGTTTTTATTGGTAGAAAGGTTTTGCAGACAGCTGTGATATAATATATAATATAACTTTATATAAAAGTCACACAATTCCCAAAATGTTTTAGATGTAGGACTTCAAGCTGAGTCGTATTTTTTAACTCAAATTGTAGAAATGAAAAGTGTGTGCTCTTTGTATACTTCATTGTGCATAATAAAACTGTTTGCAATAAGATGAGCAGTGCTTCAATAACACTGGTCAGTTAAACTCACGTCTGTAGTGAAGCAGATTTTAAATGGATGAACAGCAGCTACTAAAAGCTAAAAAATTTGTTTTTCGGCAGACAGAAAACAAAGTGGAGAGACGACAGCCTCCCCCACGACAGAGTGAGTCACAGTAGAGGAAAAAACAATGCAACAAACAAGAACACGTCGGAAAGAGTTACTGGGGGCAGACGACGAGTACACGGGAAAAATGAGCAAGAACAAATACAATCTGGACCTATCTTTGATCTATGTTGTACACAGGAAGGTTTATTCCCGTCTCAGCCAATGTTGCAGCTTCATTCAGGGTCGAATTGAAACTCTTACGTACAGTAGAGCTTCGAGGTTAACAGAAAGTTTGTAAATCTATCAGACAGCTGGTTTCTCTGAGTAAAACAATGGTTAGCCGAGTATGTTCATTCACATCTCTCGAATGCGGAGATGGAAGAACTGTGGCACCTGCTGCCATCAAACTTCCTGTGTGTTTGTGTGACAAGCGTCTGTGTTTCTATTCTCTCTTTTTTTAGGGGACGGTTAAGACCGTGAAGGCGGGATGGTGCGGGCAGGGAGCTGGTTGTTTGGCGACAAAAGGGAGGAGTAGATAGGAAGGGAGAGGGAGGGAGGAAATGGGGAGGGAAGGTGACAGAGTTGGCCCTGCTCAGGCTGGGTGATGCAAATAGCCCCACTTTGCCTCCCCCGCCTACCTGCCTGCCAGCCGCTCTTTCGTAATCTCTGTTGACAAAACAGAGGCACACGGCCCTGCTCTGGCCATGTAAACTCACACCAGTGACATGACAAGAGCTGCAGCTACTTAACACAGAGAACTCGCACGAGCCGTCAGTGGTTTTTGAGGCTTTTTGCAGGATAAAGAAATTGGGTTCCAGTTTGCCGTCTAACTGTAAATTCCCATTTCAGTGTTTTTGTTTTAATGATAATGTCAATGATCCTGAAAAGAGCTTTATTAACATAACATAACATAAAAATACCAAATACACAATATGTAATAGCAACATAACATATACACTTCTAGATAATATCATATATTATTATAATTTCTTGATTATTCCATTATTCCAAATGTTTTTTTCTACACAATGTCAGAAAATACTGATAAATTTCCCAGAACCCAAGTTATTTAAATTGATTGTTTTATCTGAAAAACAGCCTAAAACTCAAAGGTTTTTTTTTTGTTTTGTGTATTCACATTTTAGAAGCTGGAACCAAAAATTTCACAGCGTTTTTCCCTCAAAACTTAAACTTAAACAATTAACTGATTACCAGATTTATTTTCTGTCGATCGACTGATTGATTAATAATACTAATGCTGCTAATGGCACCATTCCAGTTGCTATTTTATGACTTCTAGTTTAATTGTTGCAGGTATTACAATTATTTTTTGTGAACATCTTTATGCATTAGAACATTTTACTGTTTTCAATGAAACGAGGCACATCCTTACATGTGTGATGGCACTTTTCATTCATCACACTTCACTCAACTTAATACTACTTGCACTTTATTGTCTTTGTTTTTATTAAATAAATAATAATACATTAATAATACATTCTACCTACAGGTGTCAGCTCTAGTGGCGGGTCTAATTATTACAATACCCATGAGCCTCAGCTGCCACTGCTATGGGGAAGAATCTGGTCAGAGGAACAAAATAGACCTAAAGCAAATTCAAAATGATTCATTGTTGCAATTGGGGACAAAACACTGCACCATAGTTGCTGAATTAATCCAAAACTGACCTAAAATCCAAAACAAAAACGGATGTAACCTGAATGTATAATCATGTTTCCAGGTTTAACCTCTCAACAAAGGCACGCACAACTGAATTTAGAGTTCTGTGATTGGATAATTGGACACATGCTTTTTAGTACAGTGGCTCAACTTCTGTATTAATGATTCACACTGGAGTTTCATGCACATCCAAGTCTCAGAAAGGTGACTGGCTCCAACAGCCAGTCACCTAACATCACCCATGGCAAAAATTAACAGACTCTTTACATTTTTAACTCTTTGAGGAAGAATCCTCAAGAAGAGCTGCCTGACCCTCCTCATCTTCATCCTGTCTAGTTTTCTTCCTGTTCATTTCCACTGCCTGGAACTGGATTCTCCCTCCTCCTCCTCGTCCTCCTCCTCTCTCTTACTGACCTCTCTCTGCACACAATCACTCCTGCTATCTGTGCAACGGCAGTGTGTCTGCAAAAGCATGTGTGAGACTGCATGTGAACGAAAGGGAGAGTGTGGTTTGGTTAAGTCTTGGTACATTTATTTGTGTGTCTGTGTTGCTGTCACCTGCAGACAGGGGTAAAAGATTAATGCTCTCTTTCAGCCTCTGTGGCAGGTAGAGCACAAAGAATAATTTGATTTCTCCTCCTGTCTCCCTGCTGTCTTCCCACTCTTCATTTTCTCATCTGCCTGAAAATCATCCGCTCAACCCTCTTTGTTTCCCTCTTGTTACCACCACCGCCACCACTCTTCCCTCCTAAACTATTGCACCTTCCAAAATCCAAAATCCAAACCTAAAACACAAAACACCTCCATAAAAAAAAAAGTGCTTCAGAAAACCACACACACACACACACACACACACACACACACACACACACACACACACTTCTCTGCGTTTCAGTGTTCAGGTCAGGAGGATGTTGCAAGAATGTGGCAACAACAAGAAACTGTCTCTGGCAAACCGCTCAACCTAAACCCAGCAGGCCGTTACCATGCCAACCCTATGGGATGTTAGCCCACCTTGTGATGGCGCCGAGATGATGGACGATCAGATCCCCCCTCCCCACACTCTGGGGGTGTGGTCCTATGTGGGCTGGTCAATGGAGTCTGGAGAAAGAAAGACAAAACACACATACAAGTTTAACAATCATCCTCAGCAGTGCATGTTCATTACGGTGATATTAATGAATAACAAGCAGCATTATTAATCAGCGGCCCGAAGACACATGTACAGGAAGCTGCATTAACGGCTTAATGAGCAGAAGGAACTCTGAGGGTACCGTGCCTCGCTATGGTGCTTTTGTCTTCATTACTGGTGCAAGTGTACGGAGCAAAACACGTCGTGGCTCCTGTGCATTTGCATCAACTCACATACCGCTCCCACAGCCAGACCAACTGCACCAACACGAAAAGGGATGTTGAGACACAAGTTTTACAGGAAGCCAAACGGTCGAAACCTGAAAGTGACGACAGCATGTGGCCCACAATTCAGCCAGTCGCTCTAACTATAAAAGGTAAAAGAAAGAAAGGTCTTATCCACTAAATGTGCACTCCAGATCCATACAACTGGATTTAAACGTCAAGCTTTTACTGGCAATATCTCCCATGCTTAGTGGACTCTGAGCAAGAGTACGAAAACAGACTATTAGGCTAAATCACCGCTCTAATCCCAAAAGCACATAATAGGCTAATTTGTGTCCATTTAGATCCTGATAAGAAACAATGTGTGTGTGTGTGTGTGTGTGTGTGTGTGTGTGTGTGTGTGTGTGTGTGTGTGTGGCTGTGTGGCTGTGTGTGTGTGTGTGTGTGTGTGTGTGTGTGTGTTTTGGCCCCGCTGAGTTGTTGTAGTAGCTCAAGTGTTCTGTCTGAACAATCATAAGAGAGTATCCCGTGGGGGTAAGAGTGCGTAACCATGGAGAATGCTGGGCGTTTCCATGACACCCTGTCATCAGTGAAGCACGCCGCCAGGATGTCTCATGTTCATCTGTCACTGTGCCTCAAAGTGTGTGTGTGTGTTAGAGAGAAAGAAAGTAGGTTTACTTTCGTTTTAATTCTGAGGATGTGTGTGAGCCTCGTGTCAGAGTGCACGTTTACAATCAAATATCTGAGTTCAAGACACGCCTACATGAGCGTGTGTGTGTGTTTAATGGGCGACCTCATGCCTGGCGTGCTTATGTTGTATATGTTTACGTGTGTGTGTGTGCGCGTGTGTGTGTGTTTGTGTGCGAGTGTTCACCGTCAGCGACCTGACCGCTGGCTGCACCCATGATTGGGAGCAGATGGGGGCTGTCGGTATGTGTGTGTATGTGCTAGGAGGAAGGAGGCGGGCGAGGGTGGGGGGGTTGCTCTAGTTTAGGTGATGTATGGACTCTCACACTCCAACAAAGACCCTCCTTCAACCGATGTGTTTCCTATTAATTGAAAGGGGAGAAAAATAGAGCTAGAGAACGACTGCTTAAGCTGGGAAGAATTTATAGCTCAGCTGTGACAAAGAGTAACGGACTCCATTTTTTGTGCAAAAGTTGAGGGGGTGAAAAAAGTAGTTCGCTGTGCACGAACAGGGACGAGAAAGCCTTCAGTGCCATCATTTCTGCTCTTTGTGCTCACTTTGACACAGCCATGAAAACCAGAGTGGATAAAATGGAAGTCAACGGTTGCTCATACCGGCATAAAGCCTTGAATATAAAAGCAGAGTGAATGAGCTTATGATGCAGAGGTTGAGACTATGGAGAGATGTTAAGCTCGTAGTCGAGGAGACCTTTTTACAGTCAGCTGTCCTCCTCTAAACCCGTGTATGTTTATCTTGCTGTGCTCTTCAATTACTCCTCACCAGACAGCTAAACAAGCCTTCAACCTTTCACTGTATGAATTTTTGTGTGCACTTCATGGCTGCACTTGAGCAACACAATAAATATCTTACACAACAGCATCTTCCTCTTGTTAAAACAACACAGTTTTAAAGGATGCAATAAAGATGCAGCCAGAGTTCACATTTTACTATGGATGCTCATACGGAAGCCATTAATTTCATGAACTGCTCGGTATATCAAAAACAGTACAAGAGCTGATACAAATGGGGATCTTATCTCAATGGCAATTCTGTTTTTCAAAGCTGCACAAGCGTATGACACTGTCAGTGTAGCTGATTTAACTCGGTAATCAGTTTGTTGTGACTTGAGATTTCTTCCTCTTTCCATGTAACATGATATTGCACAACTTTGATTAATCAATGTTCACTGGGCCTCTTTGACCCCAAGTTGCCTTATATTGCCTTGAAATTCACTCTGCTAACTGGTGTTCAACTTAATATGTCGGTGCAGCAGCCAAAAACAATGCAACATCATGCATCAAGAATCAAGATAAAACATGTGGAACAGGAAAAACTACATTACACGCTGACTGAAAGGGAGATATTTGTCTTATAAACCCACAAACCATGGCTTTAAAATGAACACTGTGTGAAAGAACAGGTTTGATAATCTAATTTACCGATTCTTTCATCGTTTTCAAATCAAGCCCATGAACTGTATAAATAATCAATTAGAGAAAAAACCTTTGTGCTCCAGTTTCCTTCAGGGATTGTCCACCCATGGACGTTGAGCTACACTGACCGGTCCTTCTCTGATGGCAGCGGTCCTCAAGCTGAAGCACAACACATACAACAGTGCTGTATGATGACTGCACCTTCATTGAGGTTTTCTATTTGTTTTTTTTTAAGTATTTCTGTTACTTAGTCTGAATGCAGCCACCCACATGCAGAGCAGAAACAGAATATGAAGGAACGGACACTTTCACAGCCAATAAACAGCCCTGATAAGCTAAAGATGATAAAGCAACACACATGTCCTCATCTGTCACCTTCAGCTGAACCAGGAAGAAAACTGAGAGCCACATATGGAACAGTGTTTGTGAATATCGCTGTTTCCTCTTGGTCACAAAGTCCATTTGAATCTGTAGGAGAAGGATCTGAGGCAGTAAACTACAAACTCAACTAAATCAAGTTTGTTCTTCTAGTTGTTTCTGTCTTTCCGCCGCAGATAAGAGGAACTTATGATAGTCTTCACCGTTCCAAAGTGTTTTACCCGATTTGAAATGGACCCATGAAACCAACCCAAACCAAACATGCATAAATTAATCATCAAAGTCTCCCTTTCGCTCAAAAATATGTTATATATCTACAGTTGGATGTTTGAGCTTCACTGTGCAGAATGATGTATGTGCACAGTTTGGTCCAGTATGCAACTTATGCAGGTGTAATAAAGTCCCCAGTGTACATGCACCGAGAATGGACTTTACAGTGAAGCAAGAAACATCTTGTACCCGGCAGGAAAACGTAGAAGAAGTAGATGCCTTTTTAGGGATTTTAATGTGGAAATTTGTTATAGAAAACATATCAGACACACATTAATGTTCCAAGCAGATTATTATATATTGTTTTTATATCTTAATTGACGTCTGGAAGGGAATCTTTAAGATAACGAAAACCTGATCCAAAAGACTTGTTCAGAGCTGATAGGATCTATTCAGATAAATAAACAATAGAACGGGTTCGTACCTGTACCTTATTGACCACAAGATGAACAAGACGACGAAAACACACTACACAAACACACAAAAAGTTATCGTTATGTGATCGCGTGGTAAATAGTTTAAATGTAGCGTTCATGTTACAAATTAATCTTAGCAGGAATGTGTGTTTGGCGAACACAGCACCGTCCCAGGTGACGGTATGTTACAGCAAAAGTCAAGCCAGGTTAAATTTTTCTGCTGGATCACTTTCTTTTTGCCTCTGCGTTGGCACTTGCATTGCATTTAAAGAAATAAGAAGAACACAGCCTAAATAGACAACTACCACAAGGCTCCCAGGACAGATTTTGGTTACGAGTAATGGCCATGACCAGAAAACACAAAAGAATAAAGTTTCTCAAAAAACATGAACCAAAACAACACCAACCGCTCTACTAAAGCCAGCCTGCACACAAAACTGCAACCAAAACCAAATATGGCACTTCTTCTTGTTTGCAAAGCCACCATTAGGCCTGAATCCCTTCGGGTTGGGGCTCAATAACATTTTATTGAATCTGAATCCGGCATCAAATCCTCTTATTGAATCCAAATCCTTTCGAATCCCTCATCAAATCTGATTAAGTTTAGATTGCAACATTTGCAATTAACTAAAGTTAAAACTAACTTAAACTCCAAGATTTTCTTTCGATCTATAATCACCTTTCGCTGACTGAGAATACAAAACAGTGCAGTTTTAAGTGGCAGCCTAATTAATGTTCACAACCTGTAGCTGCAATCTCAAAATGAGATGAGCATCAGGAGATATGAAATCTTGATTGGATCTGAAACTGACTTATTTTTCATCAGTTATTTGATCTGTGTATTGAAGGGCCTGATTTAGAACTATTAAACTATTAAATTAAGCAACTTCAGTTATTAATAATGAACTACAAAAACACACAGTCCACTGGCAGTCATAAGTGGGGTTTTCTGACAACTGACATGGAGAAAGCACATTAACCTGACAAAAGGCAAAACGTTTCATTTTGGTCTTTTATCAAGTCACTTCTGAAATTAACTAAATAATTAGCTACAGCGAGTTTTAATTTGAGCCAGTGAAGGTGACAGCAGGACCGGATAAAACTGACAGTTAAAGACCAATATTATGTTGGCCAATAAGTAACAAACAAGATTTCAGGTTATTAAGAAGAAGTGTCCCCATTACATAGCTCGCTCACCACATAGCAGAAAAACTAGGGATGTAACGATAAACTTCACACTACTGGGATCCCAATATGATTGACTCACGACTTTTTTATTTTAACAAAATGAGATTGAACAGAAATTATGACTGAAAAAGATTAATTTATTAATACGTTTTCTCTTATATTTCCTTTATCAAACTAAAGAATTCTTTCTTATTTTTAGGTTGCAAAACAATGCTTATTATGCTTCCTTTTCTATGTAATACGTGGAACTGAAAATACGAACCTGTCAACTACGGACAACAAAAATCAGAAATAGATAGCGCCCTCTGCTGTTTAAAAGAGCAACATGAAAAATGTTCCTTCTCACTGATTTGAATCTTATGTATAAATATT